GGGAGGGGGGTGGGGGGTGGGCACAAGGGGTGAAGGGAGTCATATATATGGTGATGGACAAACAAAAATGTACAACCCAAAATTTCACAATGTTAGAAACCATTAAAACATCAATTAAAAAAAAAAAATACAGTTTCCGTTTTTATTCTTTCCTTTCCTTCCCAGAGAGGTGAAGACTTGCGTATTATTCGGTAGGCAACACCAGCGGGCAGTGATTCTAGTTGTAGGTTATTGGTCTTTGAGCTTTAATAAAGATTCCAGAAAGAAAGGGCATGTTGTGTTTAAGAGCGTTTTCTGCCTCAGATGGGGGCCTTCTCCCCGTGCCAATTCACACGCGAAGAAATGAAATCTCCTTTGCCAGCCTGGTTTATGGAAGTTAAAATTGACAATGTGGTACAACGTGATGACTCTAGTTAATAATACTGTGTTCCATATTTGAAAGTTGCTAAGAGAACTTAAAAGTTCTCATTACGAGAAAAAAATTGTAACTGTGAGGTGACGGATGTTAACTAGATTTATTGTGGTGATCATTTCTCAATATATACAAATATCCAATCATTATGATGTACACCTGAAACTAATATAATGTTCTATGTCAATTATACCTCAGTAAAAAAATAAAAAATAAAACCACTTCTTAAAAGTGAAAAAAAGAAATGCAAATAAGATACAACTAGATATGGGACAATTGGGTGGCATTGACTATGATGATGTGATGACATCTGGGACACTTCCTCAGCTTGACTGTGACCCTTTCCTTCAGCATTCTCCCATGCTGTTTTCTTTAGAAACTAATTATGCATTAAATATTCCCCTGAACCTGCTGGACTCACACAACATTTTAATGTAATGCCTTTTAATGTATTTTTCCATACAGTCTTTTTGGGAGAAGGAGAACTAATTATTTTTCTCTTAAGCAAACCTAGAGGAATTATTGTGCAAATCTGAATATGACTTTTTTGAGATCAAGGATGAAAAACAACTGTAGTCTGTACAATTTCCAGGGTGTCCTTTTCCTGTCCCATTATAGTTATGTCCTCCCTTACCCTGTCAGTTGGGGATCAGGATGTTACAACCCAGAAGCACTAAATGAGGTGGGAACAAGCCTGATGTGTTGGGGAAGGCCATTGCAGCTGGAGCAGAGTGGATGAGGGAGAGGCAGGAAGTGAGCTCAGTGGGGTGACCAGGCCAGGTTGTCAGGACCTTGGGGGCTGTGGGAAAGGCTCTGGGTTTTCTTCTGAGAGAGGGGAAGCCTTTGGAGAGTTCTGACCAATGGAGTACTGTGATCTGGTTACCTTTTGAAAAGATAATCCATCCTGGCTGCTGCTGGAGTATGGATTTTAGGGGTAGAATGACAAGAGGAAGCTTGGAGGAGGGAGGTTGTTTAGGAGGTGTATTAGTAACTTATCGCTGCGTGACAAATTACCCCAAAACCTAGCAACCAAAACGACCATCTACATTATTATCTCATGGCATGTCTATGGGTCAGGAATTCAGGAGTGGCTTCACTGAGTGGTTCTGGCTCAGAGTATCTCATGAGGTCGCAGTCAAGATGTTGGCTAAGGCTGTAGTCATCTAGAAGCCTGACTGGTCCTGCAGATCCCACTTACAAGATGGCTCACTCACACAGCTATTGGCAGGAGTCTCAGTTTCTTGCCACGTGGACCTCTCCATAGGGCTGCTTGAGTGTCCTCATAACATGGAAGCTGGCTTTCCCCAGAGTAAGTGATCCAAGAGAGAGCAAGATGGAAGCAACAATGTTTTTTTATGACCTAGCCTTAGAAGTAACCCACTGTCATTTCTGCAATTTCCTGTTGGTTACATAGGTCAGTCCTGTTCATTGTGGCTGTGAATATCGGGAGGAGAGAATTATTGGGCGCCATCTTGGAGGCGGCTACCATAGTTGGCTGTCAGAGCAGTTGTCCAGGTGGGAGTTAATGGTGGGCGGGCAAGAGTTGACCAGTAAAAGTCCACTCTAAAAAGATAGATGCATCTGGTTACCATGTCTGAATAGAGATTTTCCTCTGTTATTGGCTGCTTGGTGGCCTGCTGTTTGCAAATAAGACCACAGAACAAAAAAATACTCCAGTTATAGCCCATTGTTAGACTCTGAGGTGTTTTAGCCATATTGTAAAATAACAATTTACTCAGCTTAATTTGACAAATCTTCTGTGATTATGATAAGTGACAGAATGATACAAACTATGTATTTCGATAATTTAAATAACTTCCCAATCTCTTGAGCAGACAGGAAAAAAGATGAATATACTGCTGTTACATGCGTATTTTATGTAACACCTATTTTGCTCCTAAATTGCCTACTGGGTTAGTTGTTTGAACAGGCTTAATGTATCTCTCCCCGAGCCGTGCTCAGTAAACTATCCTTCTTATAGTCACCTAATGGGACTGTGCTTTCAGAACAAGTAAATCGGCAAGATACCGCTGGCCCTGGAACTTCTGTCCACCTGGTGATGGAAGCACAAGGCAGGCTGCTGTCTTGCAGCACTCGCAGCCGAGTCGTCTGTCAGAGGAGAATTAGTGAAAAGAGCGTAGGTAGAAATCGCTCTGTTTAATTAAGGGAGTTGTCTCCAGCTAAATTCGTTTCTCTGGGGGTTATTTCTTAGCTTTCTTTTGTTTTAGACAAATGAAAGAAACAAAACCCCACATCACTGGAGCAGCAGCCTTTAGAAAGAGAAACTAAAGCATCAGCAGCAGCTGCTGTGGCCGGGTGACCAGGGAAGGCCTGTTCCCTTAAGGTCCTGCAAAAATGAGTAGCTGTGGTGGCAGAGACTGAACTGAATGCTGTTATTCTGTTGATTGTCGTATTTTAAGAACAGTTGCCAGGTTTGGCCAAATTGCACCTTTCTCATCTCCAACCCAAATATAGAAAAAATTTGTTTTTTTCAAAAGCATTTTGTCACAGTTTTGAAAAAATGGTTTTTACCATTTAAATTCAAACTTGTAAAATTCTTTCCTACCCGTTGATAATGCAGTGGAGAGATGAATAGTTTATCTTAAATTTAAAAGAACTCCACCAGCAGCAGTGAGCCCTTGGCATAGAACAGACACTGCTGTTCCTGAGGTCGTTCTGCGTAAAGTACCGTCCTAGGCTGTGAGCCTTCCACAAATCCCCCCATGATTGTGCAGCTCCCCTGTGACCACGAAATCGATGTGTTTCTGTTGTGCTTTAGTGCCAGCGAGTGATGAAGAGGAAGGAGCAGTTCTTTTTGACAACTCTGGCAAGGCAACTGCCGATCCCTTTGACACGTCTTCTGGATCTGTGCAGCTCATCGCAATCAAGCCCACAGCCCTCCCCGTGGCACACCCCACCTCGGACAGGAGCCAGGAGTCGGCAGCCCTCAGCGGGGAGGTGAGCACTAGAGGCCCCAGAGCGGAGACAGCCAGTGCAGCCAGGCCTCCGGGAATCTGGACCAAGGAGCAGCACCTGGGAACACGGTGCAGGGTGCGTCCAGGTGTCTAGGGCTCTGTCGGTCATTCTTCCCTCTGCACGCACAGGCCTCCATGGAATGAATCAGAACATGTCACCCTAAACGAGTTTGTTGGATGATGTTTTTGGAGCATCTTTTTCACCTTCATTAGAAAGCCCAGAGTGGGCTTTTTAAAAACTATAGTTATGAAGAGAAACATCAAAAATTCTACTTCCCCATCCCCTCACACACACAGCTTCTGCCTTTCTTGATAACACTCCTAGCCTGTTCATTATGGGTTGTCAGTTGTAGCGGGGATGGGCGGGGCTTGAACTGATAGGGAACCGGAGAAGATATTGTCATAGGGGACAGGGATGTGGCCCACTGTATGGGCTTTGAAATGACTTTACTCCTTGAGCAAGCTTGAAATAACCCTTTGTCTGCTTCCAGGAGGATATCAGTGAATATCATGATGTTAATCAATTTTCCTAAGGGTCTGAAAAAAATTTGTAACATACACCGGAGAATGGTGACTTCACCAAAGAAAAACATATGGATGGATGGATAGATAGACAGACAGATAGAAAGATAGATACAAGCAGTTTAGCGGAGAGCAAGAGAGCAAGATGCGTAAAAATTATCTGCCGTTTCTCCATTTTCTGCAGCAGAATGGTCAGTGGCTGAAGATGTTTATGAACCTTTAAGAACATGCATATGGAACCTGTGTGTGAACGTTTGCATTACACGTGTGCACGCACACATACTTACTCATGTTTTTCTCTCTTGTCAAGCTGTCATGTGGGTTGTTCATTTCATTTTTTTATACTGTGCTATTGCTACCTGCAATGGGTGGGAGAATTCCAAAGTTTTAAAGTCTTTTTCCCACCACACCTCAAGGAACATGCCATGGCCCTGTACACCTGAGCACTGTAACCGGACATCAGGAGCTTGTCCTCGTTCCCCCATCCAGGCCACGGATGAAAGCCTTTTACAGACCTGATTCAGGAAGCTCCTCTTGCTTTCTGGACAGAAAGACTGAGCTGGCCTGAAGGTGTGATGGGTTGAAGTTTATTGATTTTTAAAAAGAACTCTACTGGTTGTAGACTCACAGAGCACTTCTGTGCTAACCTCCTCATTTCTTAGACAAAGAAGCTGAAGCCAGAGGGTTCAAGTGGCTTGCTCAAAGTCACACTGAAGGTGTGGTGACAACATGATGTTCAGGCCCCCTGGCTCCCTCTCCAGTGCTCCCTCCCTCTCTTTCCTGTGGCCCATCAGTGAAACCGTCTAGCATTGTGCTAGACGGTAATTAGACTTCTTGTGGTGATCATTTCTCAGTGTATACAAACATTGAATCATTATGTCGTACACCTGAAACTAATATGATGTTATATGTCAATTATACCTCAATTAAAAAAAAGAGTTGAGTTGCTAATCAAATCATAATGATTAACATGTCCAAATTTTAAATATACCTTTTGTTGTGTCTTTGGCTTGGAGAGGTGACTTAACACTCACAAGGGCAGATTTTTTCTTTTATTGAGCTATAACATATCCTTAAAGACATTATAGATATAGTCCAAACTAAAATTCTTATTTTGATATGAATGCATATAAAAACTAAATGTTTTTATTGGTATTATTGGTATTTTTTAGAACTCCATAGTCCATGGCAAGAGAAAAAAGAGAAATTCTTTTTATATGCACTTCTTCTTACTTTCACTCAGGCTTTTAAAATACTGCCAGAGAATTGTATAGGGTATTTAATGCTGATGAGCATTTCTTTGTCTTATATTTAGTTCAATAAATTATCATCCCCCCCAAAAAAGAACAGAAACATCTCATTGTGCTTTAAGGAGTATGGACTCTCAGCCGTGCTGCGAGGATCTGAATCCCAGCTCTTCACTTACTGTTTGTGTGGTTCTGAGCAGGTTGGTTCATTTCTCTCTGCTCAGGACTTCCGTCTGTAAAATGGGCTGTTGGTGAGGATCAAGTGAATTAATATATGTAAAGCACTTAGAACAGTGCCTGGCACACAATAAATACATCATCATTATTATTATTATTATCAGTTAGTCAGTCAATGAGCAAGGATTCATTGACCATGGACTTGACGCTCCTTGGCACTATAATTTGGGAATCTGTATCACCACACCCACTGAATCTTTCCTTTGGCACAGTTCTGCCGCCAGACACGCCAGCCCAGTGGTTATAGGCCCCTGGGGTTGTCACTCACACGCTGGTGATGACCCTTGGTAGGACCCTCTGCTAACATGGACCCAGGTGATGGCCACCATACCTGGGTCTTTTCATCTCAGCTTAGTGTTGTAAATGTCATGCAGACAGAGTCCAGATCTCGGCTAAGTTCAACATACCACTCCGTTTTCTGCCAGGCCCATCGCCTGTCCTGGAAGGAGAGCAGACAAGCATTTTCGCTGTCCAGAAGTGCCGACTTGTCATATTTGGGTAGTTACAGGAATGGACCTTGCTGGCATTTGGATTGGAAAAGAGTGCTGAACTGTTCTCTGTCATTTGCTGCCTTGTGGCGTTTAGGGTGGATTGTCTTATAATTTTCTTCTTTCTTCCCTTAGGAGAGGCTTAAGTGAAGAAAGTATACCCAAAGCCATAAATTTTCCTTTTGTGTGTTCAAGAAAATTCTTTTAAAGATTATTTTAAAGAAAACATAAAAACAACATAGAAAGTTCAGACAATAAGAGAAAGATCGCTGTAATTTCACAACCCTAACCTATCCTCAGTTTTTTGCACCTTATCTTCAAGCTTTTGATCAAATCCACGTGTGCTTGAGAATCTCATCATACACGGACTTTCCATCTTGTATCGGAAGCATATATGTAGTGCTCTTGTCTTTCTGAAGGTCATTTTCAATGACTTGGTTGAGCAGGGATACCATTGATTGGAAAACTGATCTCCCATTGTTCAAACCTTCCAGGTATTTTGTGGTTTTAGTTTTGGTTTTGGTTATTATAAATAACACTACAAAGAATAATTTCACGCATGACTTAAAAAACTTTTTATTTTGAAATAATTTTGGACTTACAGAACAGTTGCAGTAGTAGAACAGAGAGTTCCAATACTCTCTTTCCCTCACTACCCCTAATGTTAACATCTTGCATAACCAGAGAATAATGAGCAAACCCACGAAGTGAGCAGTGGTACTACACTGCTGACTAATCTATGGATCTCATTTGAATTTCACCAGTTTTCCCGCCAGTGTCCTTTTCCCTATCTGGGATCCAGTCCTGGATCTCACATGGCATTTCGTTGTCTGCTGAGTCTCCTCCAGTCAGGGACAGTCCCTTAGTCTTTCTTTGTGACCATTCTTGGTCTTTCATGATCATTACTCTATTGAAGAGGACTGGCCAGTTATCATGTAGAATGTCCCTCAGTTTGGGCTTGTCTGATGCTTTCTTGTGATTAGATTGAGGTTGTCATTTTTGGCATAACCTTGGGAGTCATGTGCCCTTTTGTGGCTGTCCTCTCAGGAAGTACTTGATATTGATATGTCTGATTACTGGTGATGTCAACTTTCAGCTAACACTTTGAACCTCTCTTGGAAAGTTGCTTTAGGAGAGATTCCAGGAGTGGGATTCCTGGCTCAGAGGATGTCTCGCTAGCTTCTTCTCTTTGCTGATTTCCTCAGCGGCAAGCAGAGTGAGGGAACAGCGAAGACTTGTGAAATGCTACCAGCCTGAAAGTATTATTAGGGCCCGGGTTGGGGAGATCTCTGCAAAAGTTAGAAAAAAGATGTCCCCCAGTTTATGTTTCTTCAAATGCTGTGAAAATAAAACATATAAAATGCAGCCTTGTGTTAGTGAACCTTTGGCTTCTTACTGTAGGTTGATATATATCTTACCACTGGATGAATTTTTCTTTTGTGAATTACAGGAAATTACTTTAAAGAAAACATATTAACAGCACTATACATGGTTATATTAATACAGTCAAATCTGATTACAAACAGCACAAATGGTTCTCCATCTTATCCAGTAAGTGTCAGGCAGATTTCACTACTCAGCTCCATTCATGGGTGTAGCATCCTCATCATTTATTTATTTAGCCTAGTCATCTGCTTGTATCTTTGACAGGTCAGAAGGTATGCTGGCCATGTTCATTTCTGTGAGACTAGACTGGCTTTGTCCTATAGAGCAGGAACTCTCTATAGGACATTGCCGTTAGTGGCCATACAAGGCTTCAAAATCACCTTTCTCTCAAGAAAGATACAGATTGACAAAAATCAGCTCTCAAAGGCAGGTTCGTAGAGTAGAGAGACATGGGAGCAGGCTGTCTGGAGGCTCCCCCTTCCCACCCCATTCATCCCAGCTCAACCTCTTCAGGAACTGGCTGTCTTATCCAGATGGGCACCAGCTAAATGGCCAGGGGAGTCCATTGAGTTCCTCAGGGCTGGAGCTAGAGTTGGGGCACCAAAACTAGCTGGGCTGCCAAATCAGAGGCTTCCACACGGGGGAACTGTAAGGGTTTCGGTGGCATTAAGGCCCACAGCACAAAGGGAGAGCGTGGAGTCAGGGCTCGGCCTGAGCAGCCTCGGGTGGGCGAGGGAGAAGGAGGCCCTGATGGGTGGTCTCAGGTGACCCAGGGGGTGCCAGGCTCCACGTTGTTTGTGGCCCACTGTTGTGGGCTGGTCTTGGAATGGGACACAGGTGGGTCTGGCTGGCTCAAAGGACCAGAGGTGAAGCCTAGGACAGCGTTTCCAGGAGTTGTGACCCTCTGATGAAAGCCTCCCAGCTGTCGGCCTGCCTGGTCAGGGGTGGACCTGAGCCTGTCTCTCTCCCCAGGTGGACAAAGCCCTGAAGCAGAAGTCCGACATTGAGCACTATCGGAACAAGCTGCGCCTCAAGGCCAAGAGGAAGGGGTATTACGACTTCCCCGCAGTGGAGGTGAACAAGGCTCAGACGGAAAGAAAAAAGATGTACGAGAAAGCCCCAAAGGAAATCGAGCATGTTTTGGATCCAGACCCAGAACTGTGTGCCCCATTCGCTGAGTCTAAAAACAGGTGCTGTCTCTAAGGGATGCTCTGGTGGTCCTTGTACCATTAGTGGGATGAGGGCAGAGGTGCGTTGGGCAGTACAGTCCAGGTCCCTTCATCTGTTACCTCAGGACTGTGATCTTTGCAGGCTGCTCATCTGGACCACGCTGGTCTGCATGAGCCGATGCTCTATCATGAAGAGAACAAAATTGAAGCCATTCAAAAAAATACTTGGGCAAACAATCATAATTGTCCTTTAGTTTAATGATATTTTCAAACCAGTAGCTGTTTCAGAGCTGGGTAAATATATAACTATCACCTACCTGGTTATGTAACTTCTAGATCAGGGGACATTGTATTTTTCAATTATTTAATAGCTATTGCTTAAGAAAAGCAAATTTCATGCCTCACCTTTTCATTCAGCTTTAGTGAGTACTTACCGCACAGCTACTCAGGGATCTGTGCTGGGTTCATCTCTTTAATTTATAGATTTGTTCATTTATTCAACACTTATTGTCACCCACTATGTATTAGGCACTGTAGGAGATGCCATGGCTGTGTGTGCTTCTTCTCATTCATTCATTCAACTCAATCAACATGTATGGTGGAAAAGACAGCCCAGTCGCTGTTCTTGTGGAACTTAAGGTCTGATGGGAGAGAAAGATAACTACCCCAAAAGTTTGTTACTCATAAGCATGATGAGTGTTTGAAATGTGAGGTCCTGTAACACTCTAACAGGGGGACCTAGCCCAGCAAGAGAGGCTTAGGCCCGGCGCTTTGAATTGGTATCCTTCTGAGTTTTGCTGCTAACCAGACAGAGTGACCTCACCTACCGTGGAAAGGGGTAGAGGTTAGCAAAGCTAGAATGCCCATCTTTCTTCTTTTTCTCCCCACTCCAAAGCACTTCCTCAGATGCATTTTCATGATTTAAGACCATCTCTTTCAAATATGCATTCTCCTTGGCAACAGCCCCTTGGCTTCGAGCATGCCAACACTCCACCCCATCCCGTAGCCTTGGCAGATGCACCCTCCGCAGACTCGGTGAGACAAGACAGTTCCTGGCCTGAGTGGGGATTTATTAAAAGCAAAAATGACTATGTGACAGGCTTGGATGGAAACCACAAAGTCAAGCTGGGAGGTGAGGCTAAATTTTATGAATGAACATAATTTATTTTCAATAAAGAAAAGAGAGAATTCTAAACCAGTGCTTCATTTGCCGTGCTTCTAATGAGGCTTGGTGGGTACGACAAGCTGTTGATCTAAAATCACACCGTGACAGGGATCACAATGCATGTGTCACTGTGTTGATAACTGTGGAAGAAAGAGAAGAAAAGATATGGATTTCCAGGAGGCTGGGGCTTCTTTAGCTTTTTCTTTGCCCTGTGGGACTCTTCACTGGTCTTTCACAGACTGGGCTGGGGAGTTGTTTTCCCAGATTCCCTGCTGACACTCAGAAAATGAATCAAAGATTATATGCAGATAAGAGGAACTTAGCTTGGAAGTTATTTGAGAAATAAATAAAAATTTCAGTTAAGACTTTTTATAAGGAGAGTGAACACAACTTTTTCTGCAGAGATGCATGTCCACTGCTGAGCAGAGATTCAGGCCAGTTTCCTATGGCCCTTTGACGGTCTGCTGAAGTGTGAGTGTGTAGTCAGTTCTCAGTAAATACGTCTTGAGGAAATGACTGAATGACTCTAAAGCACCAAAAATACTGTTAAAATTTTTTTGACCAGTTAAGGAAAAAATAAGGATAACCACAGATCAGATGAGGTGGGGGAGGAATGGAGACGAGATCAGCAGGAGGTGGGATGGGGAGGAAGGGTTAGCAGAGAAGAAGAGATTGACAGGGACGCAGTAAGCCTTGAGGTGGTGTTCTTGTCACGCTCTGCTGTCACCTCCAGAGGCTGTGCTGTCTGTTAGTGCAGGTGAGACCCCCTGTCATTTGCTGCTCACAGTTCAGCGTCCGGGGCTGCTGCGCTTGGTGACCTCACCACTGCAGGGCACAGATGAGGGGGTCATTCTCTGGGCCAGAGCTGGCATCAGTAACGAGAATTTCCCCTGAGACCTAAATTAAGTGAAATGACAGACCGAGTTTAGATTTCACATGTTGACTTGTCCCCATATCTTCTAAGAGTTTTCACAGCTTTTTTCTTTAAGGTCAGAAGACCAGCCCCATTTTTATGTTACAACCTCTTATGCAGAGACACCAAGTGTGTAATATAACAGGCAGACGCTGTCCGAGGCCCCCGCAGAGTCCCTTGGCTCCCATGGCGCCTGTGCAGGCCGGCAGCATCCTGCTTACTGCGGCGAGCATCCGTGACTCCCACTGGAGGGCTTTTCTTGACAGCCCCGAGGAGAGGTGTCAGGCCATTAATAAGAGCTCTGGAGCAGCCTGAGTCAGTGACAGATGGGAACTGATGGATAACCCCCGGCAGGAGAACTCTAAGGTGTAAGCTACACTGTGGTAATGACCATGTTTTCTAGTTTCTGTATTTGATGATTTGACGTCTGGGGTCCTGCTGACACTGGAGGGGCCCTGCCCCTCCCAGGGCCGTGCAGCCAGTTCCTAGAGACAGTGAAGTGCTCCCCTGCAAGTGCACCTTTCACATGCGACCCAAACAAGCCAGCACCCACGCCCCAGCCACTTCCTTTACACAGGGCTCTCACAATCTGGGCCCCAATCCCCCTGCCCTAATCGCCCGAGGGTCAGGTACCAGACAACTAAGGATGGCCCCATGCCCCAGAGTCTGTGAAATTACTTAAACCATCCAATCCTAAGCCTGCTGACCCTGCCTTGCCCATTCCTTCCCATGGAAACCACAATAATGGCTCTTGCCCGCATAATCCCCTTGCTCCCACTGTGACTGACCCTGGTGCTTCCCCCCGTGGCCCCCTGTGGCATGGGGTGCCCCTTCCTTTTGGGATCTGTGAGTGTAACAAGCTGTCTTTTCATTGGCAGGTGTCTCCTGATTATTGGTCTTGCCATACCTGCATAAAGTTAAACCTACGTTGTGAAACATCTGTCTACCATACTCCTGCAGTGACTTTGAGCCCCATTTGCCCAAAATACTACTCTGCTCTATATCATACCCTTTATTGGCCTCCTTCCCTGCCCTCCCTCACTTTCTCACTTTCTGACTTGTGTGTCCTGGAACCCTCTCCCAAGGAAATCACTGGCACTCACATCATCACAGAGCCTGCTTCTGGGGGAACCAGCCTAAGGCTCTAACTCATGAAGACAGAGTTGCTCTGATGGAAGCACAGCCTCCTTCTCCTCCTCCTCCTCCTCCTCCTCCTCCTCCTCCTTCTCCTCCTCCTTCTCAGTGGCTCTATTCCATCTTTATGGAACCTTAGGGTTCCATAGAATACGGTTTGGGAACTACTTTCTTAAACTATAGTGGGATTAAAAAGCCCCTAAAAGTCCAAGTAAAATTTATCATTATCCACCCAGCAATATTTTCAGAGGTAAAAAACTTACTTTGGAATATTGAAAGTTTCAAAATTTGTTAACTTTGAAAAAATATAGAAAAATACCACAAGAAATGAATACACCTAATGGAACTCTGATTAAAATAAGTACTTTCTTTACCTGAGAGCTTAATTTATTTCTAAGTAGTTGCTCGCATACCAGGCACACATTGGTCTGGTCAATTGAGATCCATGTTAAACAGCAGGCTTTGAGCTGTGTATCCTAAAGGAACATTGTCTCTGGTGGAAAAGGAGACAAGAATGCACTCTAGGGTCTAAACTGTCACCCACAACGTTGTTCTGGAAAGGGTTTACACAATCTCACCATTGTATTTCTAATACTTCCAAAATAACCTACTTAAATGTCAATTGCTAATCCTAGTATTTATTCCCCCACCGCCCTTATTAGTAAATCTTTTCTAAATGGGCTAATTGACAATCTCAGGATAGTTGCGAAGTCTGGTTTTTCAAAAAATGATTTGTAATTAGGTCAAGGATGAGAATTCTTGGGGTCTGCCTTAAAGTGTGAATCACTCAGAACAGATTCTCTTTCACAAGGCTGTGCTCCATTCCTAAAGGAAGCTTATAATATTAGGTTTAAGCTCCTATATTAGTCAGGATTCTTTGGGTTGCAAATGAAGGAAATCCAGCACAAACTGGTTAGATAAAAAGGGAATTTGTCATTGAACATTATTGAAAAGTCAAGGCTTCAGACGTGACTAGATGCAAGGGGTCATACAGTGTCTCCCATATTTATCTTGCTCTCTCTTCACACTTTGTTGGCTCCTTTTCAGTCAGGCTCTTACATCATGGTGGCAAACTGGCTGCCAGCAACTCCAGTTTATATCCTATCTTCTTAGAAACCTCAATACCAAGAGAATTCCTGGTTGCTCTAGTAGAAGCCCTGAGACTCAGTTGGTCTCATTGGACCAACTCATGTGCCCACCCTCTGACCAATTGTTGTGGTCCTGGGGATGTGATGCTGTGATTGTCCGGCCTGAGTCACATGCCAACCCCTGGAGGAAGGGTAGCCCTTAAAGAACATCATGGTGCTCTTACCAAAAGAAGGTCATCATGGGTACCAGTTGAGCAGAGACCACAGAGATGAATAGAGGTGAACTCCTCGTGGTGCAGGCGTAGTCTAAGAGTGCCTGTTGTATTCCCTAGGCTAACTGCATGGGTGGTGATTTGCCTTAGAAGTTCCTGTGTCTGTGCTAGACCAGCAGGGTGTGTCTGTCCTGCTGTGACTGACTGAGTGTGCAATCTTGGCAAGTCTGCACACCTGCCAGGCTTCTGGCTTCCCGCATGGTCACTGGGAATAAACAGTGCAACCTCTTCACCTTTAACCCATCAAGGGGTGGAATCTTAGAACCGAGACATAAAATAGGTGGTGTTTGGGGAGTTCTCTGAAGATAGATGCTCTGAAATGCAGGTTATTTACAGAGAGAAACTTGTTGGACGAGAGAGAGGTAGCCAGTGATTTTTATCCCATCTTTGTCACTCTGCAGGCTCCTGTGAGTCGCCTGCCTCGCTGGATCTCACTCTACACTCACAAGAGTTGTCTCTGGTAGACGAGAAAACCACAGCCACAACCCCCAGCATGTTGCTGTTTCTTTCCCCCTCCTCAAAAAGCTTCCTCTAACGCCAAGTGGAAACAAGACAGTGGTGACAAATGTATATCCTGGGGATGCATATCCTGGGGGGCTTCGTGGAGCCTCTGAGCATGCTCCTCTCTGGGCCTGACATGCTCTGTGCCCAGACTGGCATGTGGCTGGCTCTCTTTAGGTCTCAGCTGCAATGTCACCTCTCCAGAGAGGCCTTCGCCAACCATCGATCTCAAGTCATGCCCCATCCTCGTCACCTCTGTCACATCTCCTTGTTTTTCTTAATATCACTTATCACTCTCTGAAATTATCAGGTGATTGTCTGTCTCCCTCTCTAGAATGTGAGCTCCAGGAGAGCAGGGCCATGTCTGTCTTGCACACTGTGGATCCTCATCATCTTCCACAGTGCCTGGTACATAGTAGGTGCTCAGTCAACATTGGCTGGATGGACAGACGGATGGACGGACGGACAGACAGATGGAGGGGGAGAATAACAGATGAGCCCCAAATTGCCTCTTGTTTTGTGGCTCCTTAGCCTGGAAGGGAATCCACTGTGGTGAAGGTAGAAGAGAAAGTCTATCAGCAGCCGCAGTACTAAGCCGCCTGTTAGCCGCAGGGTTTATTGACACATCATGGAACCATGCGTGGGAAATCCGAAAGATTAAAAGGAGCAGGAGGATGCTGAGTCAACACCGTCAACAAGAGCAAGTTTGTTCCTCTGGCGTTAGGGGTCAAGGGAGAGCCCCTGGCCTTGCCATCAGCAGAATTTTAGAGGAGGTTGCAGGGTTGCAATTGATTATAGTTACCTAGTTTCCATGTGAAAAGAGCATTTACAATTCAGCCAAATGGTTACAGCATCTGGAAAGAAAAAAATCTTTATTCCACTATTTCCATGGCCTCTGATGGCCGGGTAACAAATACCATCAGTTCTGAAATTTGCGAGGCAAACCCAAATCCTTCATTGGCTGCTTGTATGTTGGATCAGTGGAGAATTCCATCTGTCGGGGCGTTTGCTGCATCATAATAGTTGTTGGATTTTCTTCAGGCAACAGATGAAGAACTCTGTCTACCGAAGCCGGCAGTCTCTGAATAGCCCGAGTCCGGGGGAAACCGAGATGGACCTTCTGGTGACTCGGGAGCGACCCCGGCGTGGGATCCGGAACAGCGGATACGACGTAAGTCTCTGGTGGGCCAAAGTGAATACCAGCTTTGCTTTCCCCTGAAAACAAGGGGATGGAGCATCCCATAATGTTTCAGTTTACTATATATTTGTGGAATTTAAAAGTGTACTAAAATATTTTCTATTTTATTATTCCTGATTACCTGTTTTGCAAAGTAAGACTACTTGGAATTGTCAGAGTGACAAATTATTGCTAAAAGGATCTCAATTTCTAAATTCAACCATTTTATGAATAGTACACTATTGACTTGAAATTCAACAGCAATTCTAAATGTCCTTAATTTTTTTTCCATTTGTCCTTAGAAACTCAGTAGGAACCATGGCTGTGGGTTAGAATTCCTTTGAGCACAGGCTTTATATGCTCCATAGCAGTGTGGAGAAGTTGGACTTGTTCTTGATTTCATAACTCCTCAGTGTGCCATGGAAACAGTGAGGCATGCCGGAGCAATCTGGTGGCTCCCTGTGATGGAGCACATGCTTGTGTGGGGTGACACCTCACACGCAGAGTCTGCTAACCCCATCAAACTTCCCCAGGCCATGAGTTACTGTTGGGTGGCTCCTCAAGTTGTTCACGTCCTGTCACAGGTCGCTGCCCCGGGGAATGGTACTATGTGAGATGTGCAAGAACGCTTACCCTGCCCCAGAATTTCAAATGGTCTGGAATATACTCTTAGTTTTATGAAAAATGTTTCTTTCCCATTCTCCTAAAATGTTTCTCTAATTACAAATTAAAAAATTTTGTAACAAGAGTTATGATTCGAATATGTCTGGATAAATTTTTGTTACAATTTTTGAGGTTGTAATTTGAAAATGACACTCAATTTATTAAGCTAATTTGAAGGCAAGAAGATTGTTTTTCCCCTCAGAATTGATCATTGTTTGCCACAAAAGCTTAAAGTGGGATTTTTTAATGGTCCAATTAAAAACAGATATTCTACCTAATTTGAATTTCTAATAACCTTCCTTTCATTTAAACTTGATGTTTGTGTTGGTAGTGATAACCTTATCTTTTATTTCTTTGTCCTATTTCATATAAAACAATTTGATAGTTTGGTTTTATAAAATTCCAGATGCTTTGGACATCTGTTTTTTTTCCTCCAGGTGAAATTATTCAATGTTAATTTTTTTCCTTTTAAAAATATTTCTTATACCAAACTCGGTCATCAATTTGATAATCAGCCTATGGTTAAAAATGAGGCTTTTGAGTTTTCCAGTTAATCTCTCCCTACCAACCGTGAATATTCTTCCTGGATGCTTGTAGTTTGGGGAACTTGTTCTCCTGCCTAGGCATATCTGAGATATAATGTGATTCTTCATTTATTTCAAGATTGGTATTAATAGGTTTCTTGTGAGAGCCTAGGCACAGACATTTTCACAGTTCGAGGAAATAGGCCAGAGGTTTCCCTATTAGTCTTGAAAAAAGAACATTGCAGATTTTTTTAACCATGCCATAACTTGTAATACTTATTTAATACTTTTGGAATGTCGTGTTAGTAAATTATCTAGAACAATGGAAAGAGAGAGGTAATTTTTAGGAGATTATTCACCCCTCACAGAGGTGTGTAAATATTCCAATTATAGATTACTTTAGGGGAAGCCCACTTCATCTAATAGATTTTTTAAAAATGTGCTTTCCTTTGAGAAACGCACATGATCTTAAAAACATAAACAAAGATGAGTTTACTTAAGAGAAGATGATCATCTAGGGAACAATTTTAAGAATTTAGACTATTGACTGTAAGGATGAAATTGCTTCCTGTATTCTCCTGTGCCTTTTATTCTAATCACATGACAGGTGACTATCATTAACTGACTGTGCACTGTAGACCAGGCCCTGTCTAGTCTTGTGTATCGTCTAATTGAATTTGCACTGTCACCAGTCGGTAGATTCTCTCTTTATGCCTGTTGTATGGATGAGGAAACCAAGGCACAGAGCAGGTATGTAATTTGTCTACCTGACTCCAGTGCACCCACCACTATGTGTCTGTCTTCACATAACATAATACATGTCCTATATTTCTGATCTCTCAGAGAGGCTAGATGCCAGGTCTCACAAGAATTCTTGCATGGGGAAACTCACACAAGGAAAATACAGACCAGCGGATAAAGTAGAAAAAGAAGAGAGCCATAGTTTTAAACAATGCATTTATTTTCTGAACTCTTGAGTTTCCAAAAATGCCAAAGCACTCCTGGCAAAAGAACCCCTTAGCCCAGCAGTAAACAGGCCATTCAGTTGGAGACACGTCATTCCTCCTACTGGGTCTGGGGATCTTGAAGCCAGGCCAGAATTTCCAGTCATTTCTGCCAGATTACTGAGCCCCAGGGGAACCTGCTCCTTGACGTGGTAGAAACAAAAGCACTGGGAGATTGATTTAATTGTGAATTTTTCAGAAGTTGACTGCTTTAGAGTCTCAACAGAAAAGCCTGCATGTAAAAATAAATGAATACGTGAATAAAGAAGCAAACTAGCACATGCTCCAGGGGCCAGTCCGGGCCCGGGGCTGATGCAGCCTGGCTGGTTCCTCGAGCAGCAGGTGTGCAGGCTGCGGGAGAGGCGCTCTGAGCTCCGAGGGGGTGGGCAGTCACTGTGTTTGGCAGCGGCATCTCCATCTTTTGTCACCCTGACAGCTGAGGGACGCACATGCTCCTGGCAGTCACTGTGGCCCACTCGGCTAGTGATTTCCTGGGAGGAGGCACCCCCTTTGGAAGAATGCATGATTTTAGAAAGGTATCCAAAATTAACCACTCCTGAAAGACCAGACCATATCATTAAACCCACTTTAGCATTGAAGATAATCCTTCCTGGTGCATAAAGTGGGTAGAAAAGATAATGTCAGCCTAATATTTAAAAGCAAAAATACCTCCATTTCAAAGTATTTTTTAAAATGTTATTTTCTGAATGAGAGTCACAGAGAAAATAATGAAACAGTGAGGAAGGGAAAAGAAAATGCCCCAAATATGAATTCTTAGGCAGAATAAAGACCCAAGGGATTTTTCCTATATCGGCCCAATTATTAAGCCCGTGTGTGCATGATGGATCAGCCTTTGCTTCCAAAGGGCAAGTAATAATCAAATTATGCCCCAGAAATAAAAATGCACCTCCTCAACCTTGATTTGTGTTTGGAGTTTAAAAACCTACTCCAGGAATGGAGTCAGCTGTTGCCTTGGCCGTGCGAGAGACTGTGAAATGGATTGTTTGCATTGTCACTTTGAAAATGAGTGCCAACCTCTCAGAAGTAAAGGTCTTGGCCAGCTACTCCCTTAGGTTTCTCTCCAGCGCCTTGTCGAGGTCCCACCCGCGGAGGTACTCGGACTGCCCACCCTAAATGTGGGCAGTGGGCTTGAAAATGTTAAGAAGGGTGATTGATGCGTTGATGCATCTCAGAAGAGGCGACGTCGAAGGCTCTGCTGTAGCCACCACCGTCATCAGTTCTCATTCCAGGGGCATTCTTCAGTGAAATGATAGGAAATGTTAGATCTCTTTACAACTGAGAAGGATATGTAAATCTACAAAAAGAGTACTATATCAGGCAAGGCTCTGCTGCAGAAAACAAAACATCAAGCCATTTTAAACCGACAAAAAATGACTGTGAGGAATGAGGTGCTCCCCGAATCATCGGAGTGCTGGAGGAGTATTCCAGGAAAGACTGAGAACAAAACCCCAGGGCTGGCCGGAGGAGGGGCTGCTGCCTCTGCCCCAAGCAGGCAGGTGGGGAAGCGGGCTGCCCTGGCACTGCCGAGGAGCAGGAGGACGGGCCTGCCTTGTTTCCTCTGTCCAGACTGCACACTGGCGCATCTGATTGGCAGAACCTAGGTCTCATGCACCGCCGCCTCCTGGAGGGCCAGGAAGTGTGTGTTAGCCGGGCAGCCTCGGCATCGCGGGAGTGCATGCTGCCAAGAGGCTGCCGGTGCCGGCCCACCATCCCCACCACGGGCGCCAGGTAGAAGCGGGATGAGAGGATTACCAGGCAGGGCAACCTCTGGGAAACAGCTGGGGGAACTAGTGGAGGAAAGGTACCGCAAAGAGGGGGATGGAAGCATCACTCTGAGCTCAGTCCCCACCTGCCTGCCAAAGGCCTAGGTGTGTGCGTTGTGTGGTGTGTAGGGGTGTGTGTTTGGTGGCTTCTCTTGGCTGGCAGTGCAACCAGCTCCCTTTCTTCCAGGTGAGCAGTGGTTGCTGGAAGGAGGCCAAAGAATGAGAGCAGTTGTTTCAATGGGTTCCACTTGCAGGAGAATGAAGTATGGCCTGGAAAGCCCCTGACTGCCTGTGAGAGCAAGTCTGGGCCCTCTAGGGAAGTTTGTAAATCCTATATTATTAATGAGAGTCTCTCCTGCTCCCCTGCTCCCCGCGGCTCCCCCAGTGTCTTATGGCTTAAGCAAGACAGTCAGAGACCAAGGAAAGCACAGGAATGCCCTGCACTGCATGATGATCCTGGTTAAGGTACAGCCAACTCTTGTTTTCATTGGGAAGCAAATGGTTGGATTTGGTGATTCTGTCCTTCACCTCAGGGGCAGCCTGCTGTGGTGCTGGGTGCTCTTGTATGGACCCTCTTGACTAGGGTAGCCTCTTACTGCAGGCCGGGGTCCCCAGCATGTTTTGGCATGGACATCTGTAGGGCAAGGGAAGGATTGGGCAAAGTTGGGCTATGGTACAGATACTACAAGGCCTCAGCTGACCCCACGGGGAGCCCTGTAGCTCACATGGCCCCGCAGAATTGTCCAGAGTTTGTGCGAAATAACCTGGGCTTTTGTCCTCTAGTGTTGACCAGTCATTGGGTGTCCTTGGGTGAAGCAGCTCTCTTTAGCCAAGGACAGTTCCCAGCAAGAGAAGTGACATTGTCGATTCCCCCAGTGCTGGGGAGAGCAAAGGCAATTCCCAGTTGACAGCTGAGGGCTGGCAGCTGGCAGTGTGCCCAGCAGCCGGAAGAAAAAGTCCCACAGTCCTGAGCAGCACAGCAGTGTCCACTCCACACTGGTCCCTCCAACCCTGGTGTT